CTATGATTCCATTGTTAATCTGTCTCTGACTCTTTTCTATGATAGAGATGGACTCGTTGTGTCATATTAAGAAAAATAAAAATAAAACAAAATAAAGGAGGACGCTTCACACACCCGCCCAAAGAAAAAATCGAAAGGTAACGTACCAGCACCAGGCACTGCGCACCAGGGCATGGGAGTAACAGAGCAAACAGGACAAAGAGGCTGCAGATGGGCAGACAGCCAGACGTACAAAAACAAAGGCAACAGCAAAGCGAGATCAAGGTACCCAACACAGCAGAGTAGGCAGGGAGGTCATGAAAAAAAGAAACACAGCACAGAGGCCGAAGGCAATACAAAGGACATATATACATGAAGGAGTATAGCATACAGCAGGGTCTGTGTGTGTCCTCTTGTGCGGGTTTTTCGCCGGGGTGGACGAGGTGGCCCACCATGCTCCATACTCTCAAGCAAGAACAGCACGCGTGAAACCGGAAGGCCAAAGGTACTTGATCCTTTTGATTGCGACTCGCTGTTGCGTCATGCCCAGCTATGTTGATCTTGGCAACAAATCACGGGCTGGCAGAAAGACATGCCGCTCGGGTGTGCTGGGAAAATACTGCACAAAAGGATGCACAGCAGTTGTTGGTCTTGCTGACGACACTATCGAAGCGCAACGTGCTGTGCTGTTGTCCACTGCATAAGACCGAATGCACCAAACTGATACAAACAACACTGTATCCACGGAGGCAGGCCTCCGCACACAACAGTAGGGTTTACTCAGCCCTTTTTCGTCCCTGTAGGGCGCTTTTACGCATGCAAGCGGAATCACCTGGTTGATCATGTCCTTCTCTCTAACACGGCGAAACCTATCTCACTCTCTCACCTCGCGGCTGATTCTGTTGAAGACATGGCAGCACCGGTCAGCAATAGCGTCAATGTGGCCCCGAGACGCATTTACGGCGGTGGTACTGCAGAACCAACGCATCAGCGGAAGGCGGCATCAGCAAGCGACGGCAACACCTGTGGGGGGCGCGCAAAGTGCGCTGAACCTTTTTTTGCTTACATCGTGGTACCTCGTCGGAACGCGGACTCGCGGACTGAATGCTGTTGCAGGCTCGCGAGCTGGGGACATGGGCGAGGTACAGACACAGAGTAGGCGCCAACACTCGCCATGACTAGCACCACGGGACCCGGGGATGCGCTCAAGTTTGTGGTGAGACCAAGCTCTATCGTCTTCTCGTGTTCTCTAGCAGAACGTACGCACTAGGCACCGATACGGGGAACGTGTTGCAGCTACCTTCACAGCTGGAACAATGTTACTTGTTGTTACATGTATTTCACCGCGTTTTCGCCGTCTCTCTTTGCCGCTTGAAACGACTTACGGGCGACAGCCCTGTGTGCGAAGAAGTAAAGCTCGAAACTCGTGTCAACCTTCTCCTCGTCCGCACAGGCTTTCTCGAGCCTGGTGAAGGTTGAATTCTGGACTGAACTCGCCACCAAGAAGCTGGACACGTACCGCCTCAACGACGACGCACAGGTGCAGTACTTGTGCAAGGATGCAAGTCCATGAGAGTTGAAGAACGTTCGTGTGCAATGTACGTCTACAACCTCCCCGAGCAACCTAAAAAGGCTACTAGCCTTGCTTGGAAGACTGCTTTGATGCACCGCAGAACGAGTAACAGCAGCAGCGGCTTCGGCAGTAGAAACAGCACTGGTATTGAGTGCACTGCTGGTTCTTTGACTCGAGTGCACGTGTCAAGCCACCCGGGCATTCCCCGTGCCGCGTCGGTGTACGCGCAGTGCTTGTATATGACGCGTACCGGAGTTTCAGGTACAACTGTGTCAAGTGTTTAAATTTCCGTCTAGGACTCTCTCTGTCTCCCTCTCTGTCTCTCTGTCTCTCTGTTTATCTGTCTCTCTCTGTTTACCTCTCTCTGTCTCTCTGTCTGCCTCTCTGTCTCTCTGTTTATCTATCTGTTGATCTCTCTCTGTCTCTCTGTCTCCCTCTTTGTCTCTCTGTTTATCTGTCTCTCTCTGTCTCTCTGTCTGTCTGTCTGTCTCTCTCCCTCTCTGTCTCTATGTTTATCTGTCTCTCTCTGTCTCTCTCTCTGTCTCTCTGTCTGTCTGCCTGTCTGTCTGTTTATCTCTGTCTGTCTGTTTATCTCTCTCTCTCTCTCTCTCTCTCTCTCTCTCTCTCTCTCTCTCTCTCTC